TCCCCCCCCCCCCCACCCCCCACCAGACGTTGGGAAAGATCGGCGTTGTGAAGACTGTGTACTCTGACGGAGACATGCGTGTGCTGGTTTGTAACCAAGAGTGGACCTTCAACCCACTGTGCTGTTCTCTTGTGCCACACCGCATCGACGACATGAACAACACTCTTGGCTCAGGCTACGAGCGGGATCCCATGCGTAAGTATATATGTGGCATCGTGGTGAAATCAGGTGCTCGTCAAAATAATGAAATCGAAGAAAACAGCATTTTTCTTCTTTCTTGACAAGTTTTATCAAATTTTTGTTTTTTTATGTCCATTCAGAAACTAATTCCTGTGAGGATTGTACCTAAAAACGTTGATTAAAGGCACAATAATGTAAATGTACAGTTTCCATGGACTCTCCAGCTTTGGAAATATCGAACCATGGCGGCCATTTTCTCGCTAATTTAACCTCTGAAACCAGGCGACCCTGACCTCCTTCAATCGCAAATATTTTGACTTTTATTCAACATAGACGGATATTTTTTTTCACCAAAACGAAGGCAAATGAAGAGTCTTTAAGATGATACCAATAACCCCATATGCCCCAAAATGGACGATTCCACCACGTGGGGACACATATTGCAATAATGATTTGAGGAGAAGCCTTCTTTATTCTTTTTTTTTTTGTGGGTGGCAGCTGGGTGCTCCTTCTTTCCTATTGAACTTCTTTCTGTCTTTTCTCTCGTCCTTGTTTTCTTTGTATGTTTCTCTCTAGTGACACCTCTAGTCTTTTGCATTTATGGGAGCTTTTTGTGTCGCAAGTGCTGTAAACTCAGAGTAAAACTCGAGAAAACTGTCAGTCTGTCTTTTTTCCCTGTACCAGAGAAACAAGTTGATATGCTTCTTGTTACTCCAAATTAAACTCTATGAAAGTTTCACACCTATTATGGGTGGCCTATTTGTTGTGCAAAATGCTGTAAAACTGTCACAAAACAGATGGTGGGCGGTATGAGTAGGTCTTCCTTTTTGACTTTCTCTCTGTTGTCTGTGTCTGTCTGTCTGACCTCTTCCCTCAACACAATGACAAGATTTATTCGTCTCACGGGGAGAAATTTGTCTTGGTCGTTTACAATGGCAGTGGATGTTACAAAGGTTAGGTGTACTCACGCATACACACAACAAGACAGGACATTAGTAAATACATGTTTTACGTGCTGAAACACATGCACTCGCACGCACACTAAATGATGGCTGAAAAAAACAGCTGGGTTTGGCCCGTACAACCAGATGGTCTGTGCTCTGTGTCCTGTGTGTCTCTGTGTCCTGACCGTTTGTCCTGTGTGTCTCTGTGTCCTGAACGTTTGTCCTGTGTGTCTCTGTGTCCTGACCGTTTGTCCTGTGTTTCTCTGTGTCCTGACCGTTTGTCTTGTGTGTCTCTGTGTCCTGACCGTTTGTCCTGTGTGTCTCTGTGTCCTGACCGTTTGTCCTGTGTGTTTTCAGCGGCATTCACCTCTATACTGGAGAAACTGGAAGAACTACAGTTGTCGCACGGTCACGAGACCGGCCCCGACAGACTGGTCCGTGAGGCGGCCCAAGGTCATGTAGAGGTCGTTCGCGATATTTTGGTCAAGTACCCCGATAAGGTGAGTAGTGGTAGTTACCTTTAGAAGGTGGCAGTGACGCAGTATTGCCAGCTGTCCAGAATTTCCCGGGACTGAGTGGGTGGTTAGAGGGTGCTACTGGTAGGTCCTACTTTTCTCTTTTCTGTGTATCCGTCTTACATTCCCCCCCTCAAGTGCCATAAAACTTTAAATTAAAAAAAACAACAAAAAAACTTATACTTTGAAGTGAAAAGAATTTTTTCTATTTTTCATGCCACCCCCGTGGAATTATTGAAACGTTATTTGGCGTAGCTATTGATTGACTGCTGTCTGTGGTGAGGTGAGTGGTTCAGTGCTGTCTGTGGTGAGGTGAGTGGTTCAGTGCTGTCTGTGGTGAGGTGAGTGGTTCAGTGCTGTCTGTGGTGAGGT